TGCACGAGAAAATATTGCATATTGGACGTGAAGAAGGGAGCAAGTTGCACGTGGGGAAAAAACGCGCCTGATTTAAATGTCACACCTGAACGCTCACATCCTTTTAATTATGTTTGAAATTATGAACATTGCTCAACATCATGAAAATTAAACCTTATTTTCAATAAGCAATCCTGAAAAATATTTGGGGGTGCTTAACTTTTTTCCAGGTGTATATAATACTACTATTTGCTTCAATTTTATAAAATTTACTTTATGATTTGATTAGACTTGTCATGGTACATTTTGCTTTATTTGCACATTGGAATGTTTGATACTCATGTTAACAAAAGTAATTAGTCTTTTACCTGAATACTAGAACAAACTGGCATTGAAATTGTGACATAAGTACCCTGTTGATTTTAAATTTGAGATTCTTTATCTGGAAAGTGGCAAAACTTAGCACCAGAGCAAGTGACATGTAATTTGTAATTTTATTGTAGGTATTAAATTGTGTACTTATTTCTTCTTTCATGGAAGGTCGGACAGCAGCATTAAATCTACTAGGAAAAAAACAAGAGTTACACACTGTTCCATTCTTCTGGTGTATGGTGTTTGGAAAAAGTATTCGGTATGCAGGTTAGTTGATAATGTTATTGTTTGTATAGCATATTAGATGTATTTCTGTGTTGTTATTTTCAATATAATTGCTGTATTTTAGTTGTAAGGTATTTTGAGTAATGAAAAACAAACTGATTTAACCACTAGCTGTTGCTGGTAAACTGTTTTTATTCACATATCTATCACATATACGCAGTAATTTTCCAAGATATTGAAAATGTTTAGTTTACCTGGGATAGTGACTTTATTTAAGTAATTATTAGAACACTAATTAAATTTAGTTATTATTTGATACTTGCTATATCTATGTTAATGATATTGACTCGATTTATTAACTTATTTTGTCACTATTAGGTTCTTTCCTATGACAACTAAATTTAGGGTCTTTCCTAGAATATTAAATAAATTTAATTTTTTATTTTGAGGATAATGACTGTTTAGTTTCTTTTTCAGAATACTGACTAGGTTTAGGGTTTTTATTAGAATACTGACTAAATTTAGATTTTTCTATAACTTTGACAACATTTTGATTATTTTCTAGGATACTAATTTCATTTGTGTATTTTTTTTAAGATATTGACTCATTTAGGCTATGTCTAAAATTCCAACTAGATTTGAATTATTTTCCAGGATTCTGACTAGAGCTAGTTATTTTCCGAGATTTTGACTAGAGTTAGTTATGTTCCAGGTTTCTGACTAACTTGGGTTTTCTTCTGGGATACTGATTGTGTTTATGATTGTTTTTTATCATATTTCTTATGGCAAGAGTTTCCTATTGGGTAAATGTATATTGGGTTCTATCTTAGGCTATGGGGCAGGATTTGATGATGTGATCATCGATGGAAGTCTTGATGATCTTCAATTTGTTGCTTACTACACCAGGTGAATATATTATGAAATTATGTTTTTGGTAACTGAAGTATACATTTAATAGTACCTTTGGATTACAGCTTTTTATTTTGAAGCTAATTGAGCCACTATACAAATTCTAAGGCTAAGAAATTTACAAACCACCTTTTAAAAAACTGATATTTTCCTATTCAAAAGTGGGAAAAAAGGTGTAAAACACATGGTTTTGATGTTTTAGAATTAATTTGTGAATATTTGGACACTAATAATGTGCTAAAATATTTTGTATATTTGAGCACAAGCTAATTGCTATATTTATTTGAAGTTTAACTGTTGTTTACTAGTCAATTCAAATTTGTATTTTTCTGAGTAGAAATAAGTTACAAACCATATGCATATTTTCATACATTCTAATATTGATTATTTAAAATATTCTCAAGGTATTGGACAAATTGTGTGGATATTGTTATCTATGCTCACTGTTTTCCAGAGAAACATCTGTAGTTGCTGTGGCAACAGTGGGTAAGGATCCTGTCGCTTCTCAGTTTGCAGCTTACTTGTATAGTGGGAAGACTCTTACTAAATGTGAAATCATGTGAGTAAGCTTTTTAAGACTGTTTATTTTGGTCATGGTATTAAAAATATTTTGATTCAGTATTCTCTGTTAGTATATTATTTGGTGGAAAGTTGTTGTCGTCTTTTAAATATATTTTATTTCAAAATCATTTCTTCTCTTTTATACTATTCCTATTGAAATTACAAATTCTGAGGTTAATCTTCTCATCACCATGTACCCAGGATGAAAATCAAACAGTACTTTGGGAAAATATTCTTTCTCAACCCTCTTACTATAGACTCGGGCAATTTAACCAAATTTGTAACCACAAAGTAACCATCAGATTTTCCATGCTGTAACTTTTAATATGTTTTGTGTACCATCATGAAATTAGGCAAGTTTTCAGTAAGCATTGCAAGTCTTTTGCATACAATAAATCAGATTTTTTAAATTAAGTATTTTTACTAAAAATTTGTCCATGAATATATTGAGTCAGAATGTTGACTACTCCTAGTACAAAGTGATTTTCACGTAAAGATTAAAAATAATTTTCTTAACTTGAAAATTTGCCAAATTTCATTTGCATAATCTCTAAAACCTTCTAAATATATATCAAACATTCTTTTTCAGTAAAATTTTATCTGTTATTTTCTCTACCCTAACTCTATACCGTCATTTTGATCGACCTCATAACCACCATAAAAAATAAATCTAAATTATACATTTTCCTTTGTAGAATAGCTTCAAATTGTAAAAGGAGACTACAATTGTTTATCCTAAATAACTTAAAGTGTATAACAGTATACATCTGTTTATACTTAAATTTCATTGTTTTATTGCCCTTTGACCTATGTTTAAATAATAATCCCACCACACAAGTTGTAAATCACTTAGCAAATGTATAGTTCAAGTTACCATATTGAAATATGTAATACATGAGCTGCTCTTAAGCATACCGCTTGAAGAATTTTTTTTTCATTACTCTTACCAAATCTAACCTAATAAGTTTCCAATTTTTTATTTTTTAGTTAAGTTTATAATAATAATAATAAGTAAAAAATTATTCATGAAAAACAAGAAATATGGTACTTACCTATGTCTTCTTGTTTTTTTACTGTCAATGAAGTTTAAGCCTACTTTTGTTATACTAATGGTACTAATACACTAAGTAATTTTTATTAATTTAAATAATGCACCTAAGAACCTAAAATAATAACATGCACACAGTAAACAATGTCATATAACTATTATAATTTATCTGACTTTCTAAGTATGTGATAAGAGCTGTTGAAAATTTAGCTAAACTTGCTGATGTGAATACCTCAAGAGAAATTTTAAAACTGAAGGCAAATTAGATAATACTCTTTAAAGAAAACAATGTAATATGTCATTTGATAGATTAAAACTCTGACTTTCTATTGGTTATTTAGAATATAGTATGAAGCATCAGAGAGAACTATTGGTAATTTGTGAAAGAGAGGGTGTGGCAAGTGGGTCTGATTTTTCTAGTTTATGGCTCTGTAAACAAATAAGATTGAGGGCTATAAAAATTGTTTTACCTTAGTAATATGTATATTATAATTAGTAATTTTTGTTAAATTACATACTTCTCAGAGGGGTGGTTAATAAATTAGGGAAGACCTTGAGAACAAATGTCACAATTCTCATACTAGGGAAGACTGAACATTTTTTTAGATATTTCCTTATAAAATTTAGAACTTAAAATTTATATTTTAATTAAGTTTTTAACGTAGCTCTCTAAAAGGTCATGACATGCTCACTTTGACCTACCTGTAGTGAGGGAGTTTAATTCACTAAGTTGCAAAATGGTTTTCCTTCTTTTTTCTTTTGTTGTCATTGCTAGCATATGCATTTCTAAAGGAATTTCTCACTTTGGTGACTTTTGTTTAACCTTCAGCCATGTGATTATTCTTATTCAAATCAGACTCTTAACGTGTGTATTACCGTGAAAGGCTGGTTTGAAGAGACTGCTGTGAGATCAATGCTTACATTCGATTGTAGATTTTACCTTTCAAACACACTGTTCTTCGTGAAGAAATGGTTAGGGATAAAGGTACAAGGCTCTGAGCAAGAAAATACAGACAATCAGTCAAACAAAAAAAATTTAAACCGTTAACTAATTCTTTTATATTAGGGGAGAAAAAATATTCACGATTTGAATGCCCTTAGTAGATATAACTAGTCAGATGATATGAATTTTAAGGATATGTTGCAGTTTTAGTTTCATATTTTTTTTAATATACTATTAAACTTTAAGTATGAATTTGTGATATAAAAGAAAGAAAAAGATGTAATAAAAAAAAATCAAATGTGACATAAACAAACTGCTTTTACTTACTATGTTAAACTTGGTGAATGCCATTGAATGTATGCAAGAATGATGTACAACAAAATATTTAGAAAAACTTGTTGATTTCTTTTCATTGTATGTTTTTTCACATAAATATTGTACTTATAGGCAGCTCTTTTTTATTTCTAAATAATTTAAACCATTATTTATAATTGGAATATTCATAACCATGCCTGGATTATTGACTGGCAAACAACTGTCAGTATGCTTTCATAATCACTGGCTAAACACAAACATCCACTGGATTTTTGCAAGCTAGCTACTTCTAGTTTTGTTTCCTGTGTGTTACGAGAATATTGAACTAATGTTATGACATAAAAGTATTTAACAAAACATAAATATATATATTCGTGACGAGTAGGTTTAACTTGTGTTGAAAGTGGAATGTTATGTATGAGGATATATGTTTTGTATATAACTAAAATTTTTAAACTAGTGCTGAACATACAAAATTATAAAACTTATAGACAAGTGTTACAGCTAGTAATTTCCAGTTAGTATTGAGAGTGTAAAATGCAAATATAGCATTTTGTAGAATATATATCATTATGAAGTTTGATATTTCAAAACTTAATAAAACCTGTTTTGTACTCTGTTTTTCTTCCTTCATTGGTTTAAACACTAACATAGAAAGTTATTTCATTTCAGGAATGATCCCAAGGCCTGGTTAATGAAGGTGCCACCTGGTGGCATATATTAAGTTCTGTTTACCTTAACAACTTCACTGTTGTAATGATAGCATTAAGAATAAAAGAAGTCTCAAATCTCTTAATGTCGTAACTGCATATATTTAATTTTATGGATGCATTGAGTTTGAAATACTTTGTTTATTTAGGTGAAGGGTTTTGGTTTTGGTGAAACTAACTAAAAAAACTTTAATGTTGTAAAGCATTAAGTTTTCTAAAAACCAAAGGTTTGAAGAGTTATTACACTGTGATAATTTGTTTCACTTAAGGAAGAATATTTTGTGTTTATCTGGTTTCCAGAGTAGTTTATTAATATTTTTTCTGTATCAACCACATTTAAAATGTTATTTTTAAAGTAAATTAATTTCTTACTTACTCTAGCTCATCAAAAATATTTTCTATTGATCAAAAAATATTTGGTTTTCTATTAATTTAGGGAAAATACTTTCTGTTGTAAAGAATTATACTTAACTCTTTGTTTTCTTATCATGCTAAGAAGAAAGATGTAAAGGATTTTGTGAATCTTTAAGTATGAACATTATGTTGAGTTTATCAATTTGAGACACAACAACTCGGATAAATGTTTCTCATTAGTTACTAACAGCAATTGTTTTATGTTATATGAGTTAAGCTGAGAATTGTGATTCAGATATGCATAGATTTTTTATGTAATCAATATACATATTAAATATTTTGCATACAAATCTGTTGACTTGTATTTGATGCTTCATGCTTAGGTTGTCTTATAATATGCAGTACATTCTATATTTATAACTACAGGTATTTTCTTTTATTTTCTTATTTATTTTTGTCAAATAAAATAACGAACTTTTTCAGATGTCTTCAAAGTTTTTCAGAAGACAGAGAATTAAACTCTTCATTAAAATTATTAAGCTGTATAGATAGGTATAGCTCTATTATCATTTAGAAATTATAATTCATTGAATATCAAATTTGTTTATTGAATATGTTTCTAGATTACTATAAATCACTACTGAATAGAACAAAACGATTGTGAGCTTTTACTGTTGGTGTTTATATCATTTTGGTTAAAATAAACACAATTAGTTAATTAGTGACTATGATAATTGAGATTGTTGAGTTATGAACTGTTTCTTGAACTTTCATATCTTTACATAAGCATACTTTATGGTTCTAAAGCTTTCAGAATAATGTGAATAAAAAATAGCTATTTACATAAAAATCATGGCCGATATATACCTGTTTGTTTAAGTGTGTAACACACACAACTATTTATTTTTATAGTATAACAAGTTTTACCTGGTGCATTTTCTTATTTAGAATTTAAGGATAGCCCACATTGTTTCTTAAACACATTTCAACATTTAGGATCCAATGAGTCTTCATCTAATTAATTTTTACACTTAGAACTCAACCATAGAACACTATAAAAAAAAGTGCAGAGGGGGCTTAGAAGCAGTAGTCCCACATCCCATTGGTAAATCAATTTCTTTAAAGGAAATCCTTTCTATTAAGTTTTATATTTGTTTACATCTGTCCATTACAGTTATTAAAAGTTACATCTTCCATAGCAAATCAGTTTTATTTGGAAGCTTTTTATTATGCCTGTCTCTCCAATACAGTTTTATCATGATCTCTTCAGTACATTGTACATTTTGCACTTCTCTTCACAGTTTGTGTTATGAACAGTTAGAAGAGAGTTTGAAAAACAATAAATATATATATATGTGTGTGTTTTTCATAACTTTTGATAAATTTTTACCAGCCCCTGAACTTTATTATTTACCATACATACTTATTCAAGGAATCTTTTTGTGGTGTACTGGACATTTCAGTTGAAATCTGCACTTTACTCCATTAGGGTATTTGGAAATGAAACAGTTTCTACATATTATGCTCACATTATTATGCAGTAAAGTAAATACTTTTAATCTTTGTTAATATATTTACCTATTTGTGATATTTTTGTTAAGATGAACTGTCTTTTGACTAATGACACATTCAGTAGCCTGAATGGAATGCAAATACTGTTTCAAGAAAATAAAAAGAACTAAGAGCTTTAAACATTAGTTATGAACTTGTGACAACATTTACTTTTAAGCTGAAAGATTGATAAAAAACTTAAAGCTCATTAAGGTCAGCAAAACAGCTTTCTTGGAATTAACTTTAAATGTAAGCTTTATTTTTATTCAATAACCAACTTGTATTTGCAAACCACAATAACAATCCCTGTAAACTGATCAGTAGTTTATTCCTACTAATTAATAAAATTATATTAACCCTTCAAACTTACATTCATACAAATTTTTCAATTAGACTAACCATTCACACCTTCACTTTTTGACTCTGTATTGCTAATAATTCAAAACCATATCTCCTCTGGGTGGTCAAATACAGTTAACCTTTGAAATCTTCAACCTTTCTGACTCAAGAACTGTTATCTATTAAATTTTATGTCTATTATTACTGGTCAAGTTTTGTGAACCATTCAAACGTGTATATTTTCAAAGCAGTCCCCCCCCCTCTCCCTTGCCTCAGTGGTAAGCTTTTGGGCTTTTTAAAAAAATATAGGATTTCAATATCCACAGTACAAATAACCCATTGTGTAGTTTTGAGCTTAAAACACAAACAAATAAAACAATGTTAATCATTTAAAATAATGTTTTGTGAATGTTCAAGCATTGTTACTTTTCAAGTATCATCTCTCTGATTGGTAAGGCTACTTATCCATTGAACCCTATATCCCCACTGACTAATCACATATTCTTACCAGATAAAAAGTCTTTTAAACGAAGAAGAGGGAAAATCTAAAATGCTATTTCTACATACTTTTGCTTTGAAACCCCTAATGGACAAATGAATATGTTGAAAAACAATTGTAGCTTAGACTGATATTTATCAAATATTGGGTTTGATGCATGGTTCATGATTTAACATTAGATAATAATTGAGCTGAAACCCATAGAAAAAAATCACTTATTCTCTAATGTTAAATATTGCTTTTAATATATATATATATTGTTAACCATAACACTACTTTATTACTGAATTAATGAGAAAGTCCAATCTCTTTAAAACAACAGAAAGAAAAGACAAACATCAACGTAAACATATTACTGTGTACTGATTAGTGAGTTTTTTACAATTATATCTTTAATACTTTTAAAATAATCTTTGCTGTAGCATCCTGTACAGGACCACAAAATCTCATCGGGGACGAAAAACGTGAGGAAGATATTTACCAAAACAGTTCATTGTTACTTGCAAAATAGGAGTCTGCAGGACGTGGAAGTGCATCATATTACACAAAAGAAGTTTCCGTTTGTTTTTTCAAACATACATCCAGGAAAGAGAACTGTTCTATTTAATAATGATATTTCGAGCAATAGCTTAATGAAGAGAAGTGGCTCGAAACGTCGTTATTAAATAATAGTTTCTTGTTTTTTTTTTCTTGGGCGTTTTCTTAAATATGATTGTTGTGTATAGTAATACTTGTAGCCAACACCTAGCTAGAAAACAAAGTCTACTAAAGGACATCAGTGTTAAGATAAAACAGCTCTCGTTGTTAATGAAATACACGTAAAAAAGTATATTTAAAGAGTCGAGAATTGCAAATTAAATAAGCAGAATTTTCTACTGCAGAATTTTGTTTAAGTATGCTTTTGAAATACTATCCTGACACGACCCCTTGTCCTTGGTTCGGACACTTTACTCTCTTGCCAACAAATTCGTGACCTCAGGCGTTTAAGACCCATTCTTGGAAACATTTGGTCTAAGTAAATACGTTTTGGGAACTTATTGATCTTAAATATTACCATCGTTAGATAAATCGTAATAAATGCCTATTCTTTATATCTATGATATTTTAGTTGATACGATGTTAAATCTTTTAAATTAACATGTTACGATTATTAACATATATGGCATACTTCAAACTTTTCTTTCGAAGATTTAAAAGTTTTCTTGACAGTGCAGGGAAGGATTTTTATGTGTGCTAGGAAAATATCTATTTAGTCATATTAACCACATCATTTCATTTTCATTGCTTTTGAATAGCCTAGGCAATAATAAGTAAAAAACTGAAATAAGCTAAATGTATCATATTTAAGCTAAAAAGTAACCTAGAAAATAAATCCATTGTTAGTGCTAATTGCTGTGAATCAACCTGAGGCATTAAATTAGATATTTTAACAAATTGATGAAACAGTTAACATTCCAAATGACTAGTACGCTTTTTACTTTAATAACTTACATGATAAAAAAGAGAGTTTAAATATGTTTACTTTTAAAATGGAATTAAGCAAGACTGCTTACTCCCCTCCCAGTTTCTCTGTGTGACAAAATAATTATAATTTCTCATTATTTTTCGTAATACAAATTTTTGAGACTTAATTTTAATTAGTAATTACACATTATAATAGTGTCTTGATGAATTATTTTCACGGATATTTAATATCTCAGTTTGTTTGTTTGTAGTTAAGCTCAAAGCTACACAATGGACTTTATGTACTGTACCCACCATGGTTATCGAAACCCGATTTTTAGCATTCTCGACCTTCAGACTTACCGCTCAGCCACTGAGGGCTTAATATTCTAACGAGTAATCATTAAAAGTAAATGCAGGCAATATTATTAAGATATAATAGTTTCAAATTGTAAAATATTTTTCCTTGTTATTTTTATTCATCTCTCCTACAGAAACTTCAGAACTACAATTATTTTTTCTAAATTTTTTTTATCATTTTATATTGTAATTATAATTTCATTTTAGTTTTTGTAGGGAAGATTAAGTATCGAGAACTTCATTTGTCTTAAATGTTAATTTCATTTAACAAAATGCGTGCCAAAAATTAACCGACGCAGTCCACCTTTTATGTATCCCGAGCAGATCGTTAGAGCAAACATTTTTTTTCTTTTGCTTCGCGGAAATAGATCAGTGTTTCTTGCAATGCTAGGTTTCCGCAGTAAAATATAGAGCTATGAAAATATTTTTCAAATAATTTATCTACAAATTCTAAGAACATGTCTTTTATTTTTCATAAATATAATTCTTTAATTATGAATAACAAAACATAAACAAATTTGAAGCTATGGTTTATTTATCAAAATATTATTGTGCATTGCGCGTAGGGATACATTCTTCTCACCAATCTGCAGGCGAGTTGGGACGCTGGTATCCGCCGTCAACACACAGTCGAAGACTACAGTCACTATTCATGCACTATGGGTAACGACGTTTTCTATATTATAAGAGGGCATATTTTCTTTTAACGCCATGACAGTTAACATTCCTCCACTACTAGCAACAAAACTTCATTTATCTAGCGGACTTTTAAATATACCTCGTTTTTATGTATGTGCGTTTGATGGACTGAGGCAAGAAAGCCCATAAATTCCCATAATGAATGGTGGTCGACTGCTCTCTCTTTTCGGAACGCTGATCTCTGTTCTGACAGGTAAACGTAACTTGAATAACTTCTACTAATACTATAGTAAATTTATAAGCTTGCCTACAATTGATATTTAAAATATCACTTATCACCAAATCTGCTCACAAATTTAAATAACATATTAACTTGTAGTAGTACGCTAAAGGAGTTAATGTAAGCCTGGATCGTCTTCCAATTATTGAGAGTGGTAGTTATCTTGTTCTTGAATTTTGAAAATATTAAATTACGAATAAGGTCATCTGAGTGAAAATAAAAAAGAATAAGTAATATTATATTAATATGTGAACTACACCATATCTACATTATCCAGGACCGCTGGGATAAGAAACATATAGTAGTGGTCGAGTTGTTATTTAAATTAGCAAATTGCTTGAATTGTTAGGATGTGAACTGGATTTATAAGTTGGTAAAGTGTAATTTTCACAAAAATTCTTTCGAAAAAGAAATGTATGGAGCAAAGTTTTTGCTTTTTCATTGTTTACATGCAAATTTTGTTGTTTTTCAGTAATTTTTACAATTATTAAATTGGCTGGTAGTAAACTGATTGGATTATGAAACTTGTATCGATAAAGTTCGATTTCTGATCTACAAGTAGTTTTTGGTAAATTATTAATTCTTTTTAAGTATGTTATGAAAGGGATATTTCATTGCCGAAAGATAAAAAAATATTAAAGTCGTATCCGCTTCTTAAGTCGTAAAATAAAATAAACCTAAGACAAATAAATAGCAGTAAACAAACTGACTTGTTAAAACTAAAATTTATTATCATTTGTTCTCACTTAGCTTAAGACGGACTCAAAGAACTATTTCCGTGTCAGTATATTCTCCACTAATATTACTAAATAAATAAATAGATGCCAAAAAGAAACGTGTCAGTTTGGTTACAGTAATAATGGATAATGGCGCTTAAAAAGTGATTTAGGTTTATTTAGTCATAACTAAAATATATCTGTGAAGATTTTGTGTTATTACTAATAAAAAGGTGTATCCATGTTTCCATAACTACAAAATCTACTTAACGGAGGGTAACAGAGTTAGTTTTTGTAACCATGTGTCACAAAATGTTTTCCATAACCATAGAATGTACTTACGTATAGGGTAGATCCGTTAAGATTCCTCGTTTTACATCTAATAATAAAGATTTCCATGTTTCCATAACAACAGCATTTACTTAGTAGAAGATAATAAATCTAGGAATATTCCAATGTTTACAGTAACAATGTGTTATTTTTGGTATTGCTTCTAAGAACCTTTTAGTGAAAGTAAAGGAGAAAATTTTATATGTCAGTCACACTTCATATGCTATATTCAGTACCAACGAGGCCTTTCGGCAAAACCAGAACTTATCAGACCGACTGGGATTTTAGTTCTAGTAATACTGTTTATTCTTGTTTCAATTACAGCAAAATCTACATAGAACTGGAAACCGAACGCGGCCCAGTGATTAGTACACTGGATAATATATCAGAGGTTCGAGCCTCGTAACCACCAAAAGCAAATCCGCTCTGCACATTGGAGTCATGGTTGTGTTATAAGAGTGACGGTCAAATCGCACTGTTATATCAGAATAACGCACGAGTTGATGATGGATGGTATTGAATACTACATTTTCTAGTGTATCACTTTAAAATTAGGGACGGTAAGCACGGATATCCGTCGAGTACTTTTAAGTGAAATTCGACAAACAATAATAACTACATATAATTGTTTAATTTCTGTAGTGTCTATTGGTGTATAAAACGGCATTTATATATTAGTAATAAAGGACCTTACAACATGATATTTGTTATATTTCTTTAATTGGACACTCAACGTTTCGCTTTACAGCTTCATTAGGAGCGTTCCATTAAAACACAAACCGTAACTGACAGTACAAAACTTCAATTGGTAATTTAGAGTTGTAACAGTTTCTCTTATTGAACGTTTTCTTTTGGATTATTCGACGAAAAAGAATGCAAAGTCTAGTACAATGAATGATAATGAAAGCTTTTTACGTCTTTGGCTATAAGATACACTTTCTTTCACTTAACAAGCTGTAGGCCTACTATACGCTGTTAGGCACTCACTACTTTCTAACTTCTCTGCATATCTCGCATTTCGTTGAAACATCAAGATCGATATTCATAAAACTGAGGACAAACCGAGTGACTCGCTAACTCAGTAATCAAAATTCTCTATAACAAACTAATAAATGAATAACTAACACTATTTTCATCTAAATTACGTTTTATATCGCCCAAATTCTTTCTTACACTTTGAAGAAAATTCTAGACGTTAAGTTACGTGCATATCATGTAACGTCAAACTTAGCCTATAACTAACACAAAGACAATGTCTAAAAATAAAAAGCATAATCTAAAACAGTCGATTTATTAAGATTTCTTATGTTTTAGTTCTAACAATAATGTTTCATCAACATTCGAGTAACACGGAATTTTATGTAATTTTAGGATAATGTAGATCCGTGAATATTTCATCTTTACATATAGTAATAATGCATATTCGTGTTTCTTTGCCACAGAATCTATGTAATATAGGGTAACGTAGATTTGTGAATATTCCAAGTTTACTTCTAGTAACAGTGTCTGTTCTTGTTTCCATTACCTTAGAATTTGTGTAGTACAAGGTAATGTAAATTCGTGAAACTCCGAGGTTTACTTCTATTATCAGTGTCTATTCTTAATTGTGAATTTTTCTTCTCCGTACTAAAACGTGTAATTTTAGTGAATAAACAAATCCATGAATGACATAGATGTCTATACCATAGTTCAAACCCTGAAAATATGTTTATTCTTGTTTCAATGTGTGCTGCCTACTGGTCGCCGTCCGTGTTGTCGGCAGTAGCTTTGCCATAAACAAACATAATCACAATATCAACTTTATGGCATGTAACATAGGACCATGAAGTTGTAATTATAGTAATAATGTACACTTGTATTTCCATAACCACAAAAGCTACGTAACAAGGTGTAACGTAGATGTGAAAACGCTAAAAGTTAACTTTAGTACTAATTTTTTTTCCATTATCACTGAATTCATGGCCGGATTATCTGTTGTGCTCAGAAAAATATCGAACTGTGTTCTTTGTTTCGGTTTACATACCGCAAGCTAGGGAAGCATTAGAAACAAATAGGTTTGTTTGTTTTAGCGCAAAGCCACACAATAGACTATCTGCGTTCTGTCCACCACCACAGGGAATCTAACGACAGATTTTAGCATTTAATCCGTAAACTTACTGCCGAACCTCTGGCAGCCAAGCAGTAGGTCTAAAATTTGTGATAAAATCACGTAAACTGCAATGTACTTTATTTTTTTTCGCAATTTTATCTTATGGCTTCACGAAATATTTTTTTAAAATCAGTTTGTAGGCATTTTCAAAATGATAAATATTATTGATTTTAATTTTTATATTGTAAATATGTTTCATTATTTTGATTAAAATCGCTTTATACTTTTTGGTGAATAATTTAATTAAGAACGTATGGGCCTAGTGAGATAGATTTCATGCAGTTTTGCACTAAACAACAAACAAACAATTTAATAAAGAGTATATTGGGTCCATTTGTTCCAAACTCGTGCTTCATTAATTCGGCACTGGCTGGGTGTACTAAGTATAGTGTAATAAACACATAGTCCTGAATATTCCAGGTTTTATTTATTGTTTATATTACCACCGAATCTACTTAAAACTGTGTAACATGGATCTGTGAAGCTAATTCTTGAAAATCCCTAAGGTTAGGAATGTAGTGTTTAAAAATGTAATAGGCCTAATGGTAATACCTTATGATAAGTAAAATATGTACTCATGTTGCCATTATGATAGGATCTACTTAACACTGTATAATATATAAAACCGTGCAGATTCGAAACCGTAATAATAATCCTGTAATTATGTGCACTTGAATTTTTACTTCGTACGTATTTAATAATGTATAATATTGATCTGTAAAGTGGGAAGTTAAGAATTTTAAGAATGGAAACCTGGTTTTTTAATCCAAGTGTTGAATTAATCAAATTCTTTAGGAATCTGTAAAAACAAACAGTTGAGCTAATTACGTATTATAAAATCAACGAAGAACGGTTAGTTCTTTCTTTTTTAGATATGGTAGTAATTGTTATTGGACATGTGTATCATCTGGCTGTTGTAATAGGTTGATTTCTGACACTAAACACTACTGAAGTGTGAATTATGTGATTACTGGCAAACAGTTGGTTTATGGAATCATTTGACTAATGAAGTATACATAGTTTATTATTCAGCTATAAAAACGGTTGATTGATGCATTATATTAATCCTTAAGACTCATGACTTTCAAGCTCTGTGCACGTGTCTGCAGGTTTGTAAGTGGTTTTAGGTGACGAACTGTTGTTCAAGTAAATATGTGTGTAGATCTGCTGTTTATCACGTAATTATGTGTATAGATCTGCTGTTTATCAAGTAATTATGTGTGTAGATCTGCTATAATCACTTGATAAACAGCCATCCAGAAAAAGAGAAAAACATCACACACACAGGAAGACCGAACATCTGAAATAACTAATTCGCTACAAGTTGCGAACCATTGGCAGTGATACGAATATGATTAGCAGTGTTCAAAAAGAATAGAAATACTAACTCCTAACTTGTTTCGAATTACAAGAACAGCATGTGGAATACGTTTGTAAACTTCGTTGAAGTGCCTATGGTTCCAGACTTTTCGGACACCCTATATGTGCTCTTGAAACCCAGTAACATGCCCACAAAAACCTTCTAAAGCAGTAGTCTATCAAAGAAATATTTGAAAAACAGCATAGCCACATACATAACCACATAAAAAACAGCAAACCTAGAACTAAACCTAGGCACAAATTCACTTGAAAACCAGTGGTCTTGCTCACACACAAAACTTGATAACAGCAGATCTAAACACAACTTTCTCTGCCACACAGCAGAATTAACTCGACCTTCTCATGCTTTGACAGCGCCATAATCAGTCATGTATCTGTAATTAAGAAAAACTGTAAAT